GGCTCCCTGTTAACTCATACTCTCCGTTCTGTAGAATCTCTTCATTCCCTGTCTGGGAAGGTGGGCGTAATGCAAGATTGAACGTCTCTCTGCAATTGCAAGGATCCAATGCATTTGCACGGAGGTTCGGTTCGGGAACAACCAATCTTCATCGTGTCAAAGCCTCGTCAAGCCAACTGTTGGCAACAGTTGCTGGCTTCGGCCTGATCGAGGTGGGTTCGGGGCAGTTCCAAGAAGGAGTTGACAGCGGCGCCAACACCGGCGACAAGTTTGACAACTCTTGGAAGCGGTTTGACAACTCTTGAAGCTCCTGTGCCACTCCTAATAATAACACCAGTTGGTAGCGCATATCCCACAAGGCTTGACCAGCAATCAAAGAAGACCAGAACTCAACTTTTGGAATAGCCACAAAACAGTAACTACTGAAGTTATCAACACAACAAATTCTGACTTCACAGAACAAAACCAAGCCGCAACTTTTCGCATCCCCAGAGTTCCGTCGAGGTGTCAATTCTTTTCAATCCTTCAGTACCGTACCAACCATCAACCATGTTTGCCTCTGGACTTATTCGAGACCGCAAGGATATGCGTCGAGCACACCAACGACAACACATGAAGACACCCAAACCGATGGCTTGCAGTCCAATGGTACCAAAGTCCTTGCCCCAGATGCCGCCCGCCACCTCTCGCATTCACTAGTGCGTCAGAGTACTGCGAGAATCGAAGCGGCTACCCTTTTGTATCACTAGCATCTTGGATTGGATCCATGGACCACCGCACACACCTTGTTTTGGTCTCCTCCATGGCCTGAGAGACCCCCTCCTGCATACTGTATCAGCACACGAATGAACCACACTTTTTAATTTTATTAAAACTAGAACTTCCCATTTCACTATCTCAATAAAGCACTTTGTAGAACACAAACCATGGCGCAACCGTATCGTATCAACTCTGGGAAACAAGGAAGAGTCAACTATTGCTGGAAAGAGTTCTTCAGGCGCGCGCCTTCGAGAACAACAAACTCTGGCGGCGCCATTGAACTCCAGTTTTAAAAGTTGGTACCCAGCTAGCTCATGAATGGACATCCGTTGCACATCTTTCTGTTGGGAATATCTATTAGACTCGACTCTACGGTATTGGGCACACCCTTTCAAGGATGTTCATCCACGTACAGCACCGTACCTTTCCGCCCGACTGCACACCACAATCCATTCTCATATAGGCTATGCGTCCTTCAGGAAACAGCTGCAGTCGACCCTTGAGATCAAACGAAAAAGAGGCGGCAATCAAGTGGCTAAGAATGGTTGTAGATTATGGAAGCAAATCCTGTGCCGTTTGAAAGCCACATTGAGAGCAGAGCGCACTAGCGGCAACTTCAGTTGGAATGCTTTGGAGCAGCGTTTCGCTTCGAAGATAATCTGCTTTCGCCCGACCCTATCCAGCCGTAGTTCCGACCAGCACCTTGTGCAGTTCTTGGCTGCAACCAGCCACAAGCAAGAATGCTCGCACCCACCAAATAAACCTCGCGTTCAGCGCTGCCTAACTTGTCTTTGCCTTGCCATTGGCTGCATCACCAGTGCTACTGCCTTCCGACATCTCCGCCTTGGTTGGTGATGACTTTCCCCTAAGTTCATCGAACCAATCTTTCAAGGCAAACAGAGGAGTCATAATGGCTGCAATGATCCTACTGGCTGCGGTTTCGGCATCATTGGGATGTGGAACAAAGACTATGCCCTTGACAAAAAGCCAGAATGCCTCATAGTGAATCCATATCTGAATGATCATGCAGTACACAGGATAGTATATCAATTGCCACGCAACCGTGAATGGATGCATCCCATGGCGGAAGCATTCAAAGTTGGCCGTGAAATGAACCTCACTTTCGCCTCGTTTCATCATGGTGCGTGCAATCAGAGGGATTTCTTTGGAATGTAATAGGAAATTGGTAAAGGTCCAATCATATGTGTAGTTCATTTCCATAAAGGGCGATACATGGAAACATTTTGGGAATTTGTAGTTGATGCGTTGTTTCGTGTCCTTTTCTTCTTCTCCCTTGACTTGGACATTATCGATACTGTCTGGATGAAGAACGTAACAGTGCATTTCGTTCCAAGGTGTATTGCTGACTTCGGCCACCACTGAAACCAGTTTATTGGTACCCTTTTCTTGCACATAGTAGAACGAAACGGGGTTGAAACAGTATCCATAGTAGCGTAGGTGTGTGATGAGGATAACTCGATGCGACTCCAATGTTGGCTGGAAGGAATTCTTGGTTTTCTCTGCCACTAGCCGCAGTACTCGATTCGCAGTCTCGTGTGGAACCTTGGTATTGGATGGTTCAGTTGCAGTTGTTGGTGTGTCTTTGGCCAAGCCCTCCCCATTCTTGAGATGGTCCTCCTTCTGCAAGTTGACAATGAGACTGAGTGGCCACAAGGTATCCGAGAATAATTCATCCGTCTCCTCCAAATCCAACGCAAACAAAAATAACGGATAATTGAAAGCATGCCGCTTAGGAAGCAGCCTTGCATGCCAAACACGGCCCACATAGAGCGAGGAGGCCACTGGCTTGGTAGCACTCGTCTTGGATCTCCATACTGTGATTCCTGCCAACAACAGTGGAACACCCACAAATCCTATCACTGCCAATAGAACAGCGGCCGACAGGATCTTTAACAACAGCAACAGCCCAACAACAACCTCCATGGTGCGTCAGAATGGACCTGTGTTTCTTTGTTGTGCCGACGATAGGATGAGTGCAAAGGCGAGCACAGCCGCCGAGATCGGATGACGAAGTAATGAGTCCTGGATACATCCGTGACTGCCCGGGTTCGCATAGCTGGGACAACCAATCATCCAATATTCATTGGCAACAATGAAGCAAGAGAGGTTGGTTACAACCACCATGCTAGCATGAAACGACATTGGTTTCCGAGGAAGGAGTCCTGGATGCAACCGTGGCTTCCAGGCAAAGCTCAAGTCGGTTTTTTGCCAACAGTCAACTCATTGTCGATTTTGTGCCAACAGTCAACAGTCAACTCATTGCGTCATGGATTGAGCGAGAGCTCCTATAGTATCTATTGTACTGCAAGCAATCTAGTTAGAAACCATTTTAGCTAATATCCTACAGTCACTGCTACACAAACTACCACCATGTCTTCATTCTTGTCTCCCATTTCTTCAATCATCTTGCCACTGGTAGCAATCATGCCACCACTTTGAATCTGAATGTTGACTTTTCCGTAGGGGAAACAGTTGCGCACCGCGGCAAGATCCAATCCAGATTGATAAGTCTCGGGAACCGCAAGAAGGACGTCCAACTTCATATTTTCTCTGCCCCCCGGAACGAGATCTCCAATGGAAGGAATCTGGTTGAATTCAATAGCATTGCGGCAGGCTCGGACTGATGAACGACGAGAGCGACAAAGTGAGTTGTTCTGAATAACATAGTTGCCATCTGTTGCTGTGTGTGCTTGTGTTTTATGTACCTGCTGCCTTGGTCGAATCTTGTCCGTGGGCATCGGCTCCAAATCCTTGCATTGTGGCAGTCAGTGTACAGTAGTCTAGGATGAGTTTTTCAATTGATCGCGATTTTGATTCAGCAGCCAGATTGATGCCACACAGTACTCACCGCACTCGACAAAGAGGATCTTTTCCACTTGCTTTGGATCCGATTCTGGAGCAGTTGCTGCCGATGATACTTTCGTGGTGCTCATGGTTATTATTGTTGGAAGTTTGGCCACTGAAGGGGCAACAAATGCGGAACTGCCACCCAGAAAGAAGGCAGTAAGCAGATATACAACAAAAGAGCGTCGTCGAAGCATTGAATTCTCTTCCCACAGTGAGTGCAATGATAAAGTAGGGATGCCACAACAATAAATGAAGTCGAGACAACACCAATCAATCAAGGCACAAAAAGAGTCGCGTGAAAAAAGGAGTTGTTGGAGGTTGGTTGAAAAAATGAGGCTGACGTCATGAACAAAATGAAGTCACGGATTGTCATTCGTCAATGGCGGCAGTTGGCAGAGCCACTCAAAAATCCAGCACGAACGAGCTGTGGACGGTGGAGGGTGGGCAAAGGGTTTTTATCGCAGCCATCATTGTGGGTCAAAAGCACTCCATTGCAGTGTAGTAAAACAACGATAATCTTGTCCAGCTCTTGGTGTTTGATTCTCTGTGTGTTTTTCTTCCTCGACTGAACCCAACCAACCAACCATCCACTCAAGAAAGAAGCAAAATAATGTCGGCTACCGCAAGCAGCGATACTACCGCCAGCAGTGATGACAATGTGGAGCAAGCCAAGCTCAAGGCTAGCTGTGACAATTACGTGTCTAATGGATTGACGGGAAACAGGACGATTCAATTCTTGATTCAACAGCTGGATAGCATGGGTTGTTCGCCACCAGAAGGATTCATTCGCTGCACGGACTGTGGACCCTTGAAGGCACTGGGCGCCTTTCATTTGCTCTCGGAAGAAACGACTGCCAGCGTTCCTACTACGAGCGTATCGGAGGCAACCCATCATACTGATCAGCCAACAACAACACAAAAGTCACTGCCAGCAGCTTGCAGCTCGTACTTTATGGACACGCTGAAACGGATTCGTGCATCGAGCAACACGGATCTTGCCGCACAAGATGCGATGATGGAAACAATCAACAACAGCAACACAAAAACAACAGAAACGATCAAAACACCGGAAATCTTTCTCTGTCAACAACATTTATCCAGTCAGGACCAAACGCATCGCACCATTATTCACGAACTCATTCATGCTGTCGACACGTGCCGGTCCAAAATGGATCCCCAATCCAATTGCATTCATTTGGCGTGCACCGAAATCCGAGCGGAAAATCTCTCGGGAGAATGCAATTTTAAGAATGAATTGTTCAAGATTGGACCGCATTCGCTGAAACAACATGGCCAGGAATGTGTCAAACGCCGTGCCATGCTCTCTGTCAATGCTCACCCTAGGTGTCGCGAACGTGCCGAAGAATATGTCGATGCTGCCATGCACCGATGTTATCAAGATGTATTTCCCTTTGAGAGGCATCCCAATGAAGGGCCGTCTCTGTAATATACATATACATTTATTTGTAGAATTAAATGATGCCTTAGTGCCTTATAGCTGTCGTACAGTAGAGGCACATTGACTATTACTTTAGGAGGTCGGTTACTACATGTCTTCTCTACGTTCTGTCCTGGTACCCTACCGTATGCGTAAAAGCACAACCAGTAGGCCGACACCGGCGCACATTCAACTGGTAGGAATCTTGCGCTGCCCTTTGTGATAGTGTGCCACCGTCGAGTCCTCGTTTCAAGTGGCGCTAATTGGTGAACAGGTGGGAAGTGATATGTATTCACCTGGAGCACGAACTTATACCGGTAGAAGTTGGTTGAATTCAAATGGTGGAGCAGAGTTTGGCAAAGGAGAAAACCATCTGGAAGCATCAATTATATATGCACTATTGTGAAGGAGAGCCCATGTTCATAGTTGAGTGCTTTCAAAAATTGTGCCTTGAATAGAATTTTTCCAAATCAATCACCACTTTCACATACTTCAACTGGTCAACTTCCTCCATGGTTGAAATGAGAGCCACCTCGCTCTCTGGAAATGGGTATTGCCACAGATTTCTGGCTTTGATCCGCTTTGGTGAACTGATTCGGTCAACTTTCACAGCAACTCTGCCATCTTCCGACCCATCCATGCAGACCAGACCAATTTTGTTGTTCATTGCCAAGCCTGAGGGACTCACAAGGTCATGGATGACAACCCAAAGGCCGGCTTCACTGATACCTCTTTCCGGCATCACACAGTCAATATCTCCAGAATTCCTTGCTTCTTCAACGAATGTCATGATGTCAGCAGCCATTTGGGCATTGCTTGTATATGCATCATCAGCATAGTCTTCACTTTTTTCAGAGTTCACCACTTTGAAGAGTGCAGAGGCTTCCTTCATCTCTTTAGCTGTGCACTCCTCGGACACAATATTCGCCTTTGGAAATAAAACCAGACAGAGCGCATGCTCTGATGAAAGACACCCGATAAATTGTCTTTTTGGCTGCGTTGTTGGCCTTGAAAAAATTGAGTGTGACCTTTGTGATTCGCTTCAGATCCCATTATGGTACCACCAATTTGGTTTCTGAAGCTTCAGACCCCCACGAATATATTCAATTGCGAGAGCAATCACGCAAGTGGCCCATTTCATCATGTCCACATGGATTTTCTGATGAATGCGTTTGGCAACTTCCAAATCAGTGCCCCGATTGATGACAAGAGGAGCAGACAGAATATTCCATGCCAACCTTCTACATGCTTCCCAATAACATGAAATACCTTCTTTTTTTTTGTCCTGATACTTCAAAACACATACCAAGTGTACGAAACGCTACTGATCGCCTTGGTTCCAGTTTGATTGCTTTTTGAAGGACTTTCTTTGCGCCTTTGATGTCACCTGCCTTAATTCTCCGATCTGCTTTCGAGATGAGATAATCGTAATCAGATTTCGCTTCCCATTCCATCCTTCCAGACAGGAAATCAGCTGCATAATCCTTCCAGCCCTGTGCATGCTCCTGATGCCACTTTTTGTGTTCTGGCCAAGCCTTTTGGAAGCAATCTTGCGAACAAAAAAGTGCTGGTATAAACCGTTCCTCGGTACAACGAGGACACTGGTTGAATGGCTCGCGGTCTGGCTCCACCATTTGACATCCCCGGCAGACTCTCCCTGCCTTTGCACATGGTGGTCCATCGGCAATCCTATCGAACATATCTTGCCATGTTGGTTCCATCCGTTGTTTCTAGTATGAGTAGCCACACAAACCGAGTTAGCAGAGCTATGGAAGCAGAGATAAAACAAAACTCCTGTCTAGCTCTAGAGCTGTTCTTTCAGTTTCGTACAGAGCGGATGTTGCGGCGAATGAATATTCCTAGAGTCTAAACCCTCGGAAAGGACGTGCTCGTGCCGGAAGATTGTCCTCCTTCCTATTAAGAAACATGAACGCTCACGTAGTTAGGACTCGACTCCAAATAACAGACAAGGCACCGGTACCGTTCAGCATAAAGGCATCAGCAACACAACTAGCCAGTACGGTACCGGTACCTTGAACCGGTAGCCATGTTTTGCCTTTGCCTACAGGTACATGCACACAATGGTAGGAAGCTCGCAAGCCCTTTGTGACTGTGTGCCACCGGCATCGCCGCGTCTTCGTTTCTAGCTAGACTGACCAACGCGAATTGGTGAATAGGTTGTAAGTGCTATTTACCTTGAGCCCCAACTGACACGGGTACCGAAGGAAGTAGATTGAAGTCAACGGTGCATTGAGCAGAAACGGTGGAACAGAGTTTGGTACAAGATACAACCATATAGCAAGTTACAAACGTATACTACACACATCATTTCCAGAACGGAATCGAATCGAATCAAAGCAACGCTTCCTTTTTGATCATCCAAACAAGCGCAGTGCATGCCTGGCGGTTGCCCGACTTCCCGGGTCAATGGCCAAGATATTCCGCAGCAGATTCAAGAAACTCTCATGACCATGATGGTGCACAATTCCTTCCAGTGGGCGAGAGTTGAGTACATACGAGGCACTTTCCGCCCGAAGGACTTTTTGCATTCGATGTCGGCCGCGTGCATCAAATGCTTCGTCCACCAGGGACCGGCAAAAGTGGCTGGCTCTTTCTAGCATCCGCCCAGGGAATGGGCCAATGATGCGTTCCATCAATGCCAAATGCTCAATATTGTCATGTGTTGCAAAGAGGAGTTCTCCTTGGTACAACTCTGCCAAGATGCAACCGACGGACCATAGATCCGATGGCATGCTCCATCCACAACTGAGTATCACTTCCGGTGCACGATATTGGCGTGTATTGACGACGGAGGATTTTTTCTCGTCGTCGTATGTGGCACCTCCAAAATCGATAATCTTGATGGCTGTGGATTCTGGCCATTTCTGATGATCCCCTCTCGAAAATTCTCTGCGATTGGCGAGTAGAATATTCTCTGGTTTCACTACATGTGTGTGTGGCGATGGAAAACGTTTGGACAATCCATATTTTTCATTTGTTGGTGAGGGCGGATGAGTCCATTTACTCAAGATAGATAGTATAGCCAAAGAAGAAAAAGCACTCTTACTTACAATCCGTGTGAATCAACCGAAAAGAATGAAGAAAATCCACCGCTTCTAGTAGCTGAAGCGCATAATCTCGAACCTGTTGAAATGGGAAGGGTTTGTAGTTGTTGCGTTTGAGGACATCAAAGAGGGACGGGCCCAGACTCTCTGAAACGAGACAGTAATGACCGCAAAAGTTAAAGGCGTCGAACATGACCGCAAAATGGGTCACTCCGCGACCTCCTCGGCGATTGACATTTGCCACAATCCTCGCTTCAATGACGGCCGAGTCGTAGTATCGTTTGATTTTGCGGACCATTTTGATGGCGACGACATTGTTGTTATTATTTCTTCGACGCAAGTCGACACATTCGACCACTCTGCCAAAAGTGCCAATCCCCAGCTCTCGTTCGACTCTGAAATGGTCGGCAATAATAGTTCCGCGTCCACCCATAAAGTGTCCCACAGAGTCATCGTGTTGTGCCATGGAGGAAGACACGACACTCTCCACCTTTGGTGGATGCTCTTTATTGGCTTGTTTATTATTGATATGGTGCTTTTTATTAATAATTGCAGAGGGATTTCTTTGTCGATGGTGGTGATGAGAATGAGCATCAGGTGTTGCAGAGTTTCTTCCATGTTTATTGTTGTTGCTGTGCTGGCGCGTGTCATCATCGTCGCTCACGACTCCTCGATGTCTGGATGGTGATCTGGATGACGAAGACGATGAAGGACTCGAGCTTCGCCGTCTTCGTTTGTGTCTTCTGCTGTGACGGCGACTGCTCTTTTCATGAGAGGAGTCTCTCTTTCGTCTATCACGACCACGACGGCGACGACTTCTTCTTCGTTTGCCTTTGTCGTCGTCGTCGTCAAGTCTCCTGCCTTCTTCACTGGACAAGGATTTGGACGAGCTCAGCAAAGACTGGGAAGATGGACTCCTCCGCCTCCGTTTTCTCCGTCGACTGTCATGACGACTGCTCTCATTCCGTTCTGGATCATCCCGTCTTTGCTTGGGATGATGATTGTTTGAAGTAGTAGCGGAAGCAGTGGCATTGTGGTTGGATCTGGCTTGCCTGTCGTCTAACGGCTGCTGCTGCTTTCGACGTTGCTGCTGCTGCTGAGTCCTATCTTCTCTGTTACTAGTACGAAAAGGACCGTTCACTGGATTCCGCTGCTGGTGCCCCTGACCATTCCTATCGTATCGCCCGTGTTGCATAAGAGGACCTCTGCTTCAGACAAAATTTATGGAAGGAAGCCAACAACCATGTACAGCAGCAAATAAGGAGTAATGATCGATGAATGGTTGGCTGCTATCGAACAATTATTTTCCCCACCTCCCTCACAAGATCTGTAAGTTGGAGCATTTATTTGATGAAGCTCCCACGCCAAGCTCGCGGCAATCATAATCACGATCCACGGTGACGTGGCATAGTCCCAAAATTTCATGTAGCGGTACCAGGTACTATTAGTACGTGTAGATGATGTACATGTATTAGTAAAAACTTACTAGAAATGGTCGGTACAACCGGTAACCGGTACATAACTGGAAGAATGTCCTGTTTAAATAAAACCGATCAAGCCTTTTTCGACCGTACGGTACCCCAACACGAACAGTGAAGAGTTTCCGAATGAGTACCTACATAATAGCACCGCACACCGCACCCTCCACAAAAGCAACACGGTCATTGTAATAGCACCATGACAACAGACTACTACTATGATGAGAGCTATTTGCAATGGCCATCAATGGCACCGACATTATTAGCAGAGGACGTGAGTAGTCTCTCCGAAGCACAAGACAAGGCCCTGTCGATCGTTCCGCTGTGTTCCGGAATAATGAGTGCCTGGGGCTCGGGCAGCATCATCTACATGGTTTGCAAGGCCGAGAAATGGAACAGTTACAAGCGCATCATGCTCGGACTGAGTGTATTTGACTGTATCTCCAGTCTCGCCATTGGACTGCAACCATTTTTTCTGCCGGCGGATTCCTCACAAAGAGTATGGGCCGTGGGGACGGATGCTACCTGCACCCTGGGTGGTTTCTTTCAGCAATTGTCTCTGGCCAACATTTGGTACAATGGATTTCTCAGCTTCTTTTTCCTCTTTACCATTCGCTATCAAATGAGTGAAGAGCGAATGTCCAAACGGTATGAACCAGTGTTTCACATTATAGCCATTGGGCATCCCCTCGTCACAGCCATTATGGGAGCTGCCATTGGAGCCTACGGGGAGCTCAAATTGGGACATAATTGCTGGCTGACAAACTATCCGGATGGATGTGTCAGTTGTCAGGGATCCGAAGAAAAAGAGATCCTAATGCACAATGTTGCTTGACGCCCGTCTTGGCATATGTCTATGCTGCCATTCCCACCTTTTTTGTCCTATTGGCCGTCATCATCAACAACCTGCTCATTTACTGTCACATGCGAAAAATTGTCCAGCAAACCATCATGAGTTCCAATGCCACAGATGCCGTGCCATCTACCAACTCGGCCATTAGTAATTATGGAAACTTGTCTGCCGAAGACTCAGGACCTGCAGTCCTTGCAACAGTGCCCGAAGATGACAACAAGGTGGAAGAAACTCCAGCCATTGGTGAAAATGGGGAGAGCCAAAATGATGTCAACAAGGATACTGCTATAGATGCAGTTGACAAAGAAACTACAATAGCTAGTTATTCTAATCCAGAAGACCTTCCTTTCTGCCGGCAGAATCCAAATGCAAACAACCCGCCAGCTGCTACTACTACTTATGAGTTGGTAGTAGCATTGCCCAGAAGCAACAACAACAATAGAACCAAATGATCTGTCCACAGAGCCACAGCCACCTGTGGTAGAACCCTCCTCTTCTTCTCACTCCACCTGATGCCGACATTATTAGCAATGTCAAACAGATTCAGGAACAACAACGGCGAGAAGAGTTGCGCAATACACAATTGCAGAAAATAATGATGCTAGACAAACCAAGCGACTGAGAGAAGTGGCCAGTTCAAGCATATTCTCTATGTGTGCGGTGATTCTACTGACACAGGCTCCCGTCATGCTCCATTTGGGAGATCATGGCTTTCCAGCAGAGAATATACGGCAGCAGACGAATGGATCTGTTTCCCATGCTCTTGCTTCGGGCCATTCTGTGGCCTCTCCAAGGATTGTTTAACTACTGTGTATGGATTCGACCATCCTATCTGAGAGAAACCTAGCTAGACAGAAACAACAATACACACGTACAGAAGTACTGTACGCAGCCGACAAGGGGGCAAGGTTTTGAGTGGAACACAATGCGATAGCTAGCTAGAAGCCAAGCTGTTCCATTGGAGCTTTGTACAACCAGAGGCGACAAATTGTCTCAATCCATCAAAGCAAAAGCTGTCCATGATTCATGACCCAGTTTCATAACGTTGTGTTTACCTTTCTGGATGGCCTGCTGGTCGGTGCAGCACACTTTCGCGATTGCAGGAAGCAGAAGTACCGTCGAGCGACGAACAAATCATTCCGGCATCTTCATGCAGCGACTTTGCAGAGTTAGAGCTCCTGACGATTCAACTCTTGAAAGCAGAGTCATCGACTGCGCCATCGCACAGAGTCGAGTCCACTCATGTACAATAATGTCATTGCTAGTTTCGCACGGAGTGGAGTTCTGCATCTGGGTGCAATCGCCAACGAAAGGGCGGGAGAAGACATGGTGTTGGAAAAGGACATGTTTTGGGCTCGACACTGCGTTTCGAGGCACTGACATTTTACAGTGACTGGAATGCAAAGTTTAAGTTTGAATGAATCAACGAAGGAAACACACTCATTTCTTTCTCGAAACGACAGCTCGGGTGGGAACCACTCGAAAGCCATTCAGGGCAGAGAACGGTTCAACTTCAGAAGGGACTCCTTCCGTGGCAACACCAGCAGTTCAAGGTTGATCGTGCAGGTTTTCGTGCCGGCAATCAGCAATGGTCTGATGACCTGGATTTTGCATCCCACGATTCTACCTCGAATCATTGCAACCCTACGGATATCTGAAATGACCGGGCCGCGAAACAGGTCAATCGATGATCCCCATCCAAGCCACAAGCTTGTGGGCTTCTTAATAAAATGTAATGAGTGGGTTGCTACCTGTATGTGATTAGAGGGGACTATGGGTGGGGGCTAGCTAGGGAAGGGAGATGCAAACGAAAACAACTAAATAGAGGGATAGAGCAAGGGGCTGAGGAAGGAAATTTTTCACAGAACACGGTAGCAAACCCGAAACACTTCGTTTTCTTAAAAGCATAAATTCTATGGAATTCCACCATCATTCGCCAGAGATCTTGGCCAAAATTGTGGGAATGATGACTTCCGAAAATTTGGTTTCCTTCCAATACCACCGCTTGGGGGGTTTCCTGGGGGAGACCTTGGTTGTTTCACTTCTTTGTCCGAAATAGCGCCGCAACGACTTGCATCCCACCACCATGATGTTTTCTTGTGTTGAAGCCTTCAAGGCCAGCTTGGTCATGCTTTTTCTCTTGGCAGCAGCAACGGCACAAGACAACACGACCATGGTCGATCCGGGTGAAGTCATGAACATTACTCCAGGTGAAATCATGACTCTGCCTCCTGAAACTGTACCAGCCGGGGGAAATCCACAGGTGACCCCAGATCCAGAAAGCCAAGAGGGAACCCAGGGTCCGACTACCCAAGTTTTGACTCAAGTTTTAGGACAGACGTTTGCTCCCGCACCCACGCCGATTCCAGCGGCAGCTGTTGAGACCGACGAGTCTCCAACAAGCGCCCCTGGCAGTGGGGCAACAGACATTTTGGCTTCCACATTCAAGGTGCAAATAGCTGCTGTGGTTGGTTTGGCAGGTGTGGTGATGGCAATGTTGTAGGCAAATCTACTATATCCGAGACGAAAGAGAAAGTATTTGAAACAATCCATCAATTTGCATTATTGCTGTGCTAAGAGAGAGGAGGGACTACGGTAGCTGGATTCTCTGTGAAGGATCTTTGCAATTCACATGACAGGAGGGCTGACACACAAAGAAAGGAAGGTTTGTTTGCTTGGAAAATTGTTAGACAGAGAAAGATGGAAACACCGGAAGGCCGGGCAGCAAGAGGAAAGTAGTTGCGGCTGTTGGCCTTCGTTGTTCCACATCGATGATAGATACTTTGTGTACGGTACTAGTTTCTTCCAGAGGAAGTTTTTGCGTCGCCAATAGTGGCACACAATGCTAGATGTTTCAACTGAATCTGTCACCGTGGGGTACCTAGGCGCACTATCAGTAGCTACGGGGGTGGCGGCACCCCCACTGGTTCCAGTGCTGGAAGCAACTGCTGCTGCCTCAAATCAGACCATGCCAACATCAAGTTGCGCATGCAAAACCTAGCTATAATAAAGGCTAGGGGTTTCGTAAAGCTTTGTTGTCAATTACAACACCGCTAACTGGGAGTCCGAATCCCACCGGTAGCCATTCCATATAGCTTTTCAAATATGTTGGCTCCATTGTCGCGTAGACCCGAATGTTGATACTCATTGCTAACCCATAGCTTGCACTTCTCCAGGGGGGCACCTCGTTTTGCCACTTTCATTGCCGCATCAAAATCGACGTACATGTCTTCATGATAGACTGCAGCAGCCGCTTTGCAACTCCCATTGCTCAGAACCTTGCGCATGTGTTCTCCATCATACAAAGGGCCCCAATCGGTTTTACTGGCCAGATTGTTGGCTACTTTGGTCAGACCCACCCCGGACAGCTCCGCAAAGTCCTCCGGCATAAACGGGAACACATGCTCTCCAAAGAAGAGCGTGGGTTGCGAATCATCGTCCACTTGGGAACTAGTGTATTGGTAATCGAATTCCTTGTTACTGGCAGCAAGGGCCTCGTAAGCCCTGTGAGCAGCCCAGTTCGTGGGGGAGTTCCTGTCCGATCCATCTCCATAAATGCTCTCATGTAACCAAAAGTAGATTGGGTGGTCATCAAAGCTCTGTGCCGAATCCATGTACTTTAGAAATGCCCTTGTAAACACGACAGTATCATCCGACAGTGTGGCTGTTGCGATCATGGAATGAAATGTAGCAAAAGCTGAAGGTGATCCACCTAGGGCAATTCCCAGCATTAAGAAACGCCTTGCTGTCAAGGTCCCCCCAGAAGGCAGTTTCATCGGTTGCTTCAACAAGGACTGCACAATTTGCTTGACCCGACGAATATCTCCAGGGTACATTTCGTAGTATCTCAGGTTTCGCTTTTGTAAAAAGTTTCAAAATAAGTAGTTGTTGGCAAAATAAGAGATAATTCATTCATTTCAAAGCAACCAAAGAGCATGAAACGAGGAGAAAAGAAGGAAAACTCACCTCTTGGCAGGTCTTCCAAAGCGATGTGTAGGCATCAAAGGCAGGGGTCAACATGGGCGCAATTCCTCCCGTGAGCAAACAAATTCGGGGTGGATGCTCAATGGTGGAAAGGTAGGTCATGGTACAGAACCCTCCAAACGATTGTCCCATGGAGAGACCCCAGGGTCGTGGTTCCTTTCAAGAAACAAGAACAACAACATAAAAGAAACAAGAAGAATGAGGCACGTGAATACATCCATCACTGTGCGATGGCTTGATTTGATGATTGTGTGCTCACCGTCACTGGTTCGTCCGCTGGCATCATGAGTGCCTCCTTGATGTCTTCGGCATCCTTTACAATATTATCCGCTCGGAACTTGGACATGTAATCGGTGACTTCCTTGGCGGCCTGTTCTACTTTGGCAGTCACTTCTTCCGATGGCTCTCCCTCCTTTGCTTCGTCCAACAGAAACAAGTCTGGGAATTGCAATTCCAATGTTTGCTTGGTCAGAGGTGTCGATCGTCCGGTCCCCCGTTGATCCATCAAGACAATGCGATTGTATCCTTGATCCATGGCCGATGCTGCCCACGATGCCTCCTTGGAGAATCCTAGTGACACCATGGGTGTGGGCGATCCAAAGCCCGGTCCACCTT